AAGAAGTCGACCAAAAAATAAAAAATTCCAATTCTGAAATCTCACACCTAGGATGGAAAATGAAAACGGTACGCACGATAAGTTTCGAGCCCATAATTGATAATTCTTGTACATAATATTCTTAATACAAAATAACTGGAAATTAACACAACCTTCATAGACAGAAACAGCTTCCTTATTCACGAACAATAGAAGAAAGCCCAATCACTCAACATTCGAAATCTCTCCTTGCCACAAGCACGTCCAATTCCTACAAAACATGCATGTGGTCCTTCCATAAGTAAATTTGTATTTACAACAATAGTTACAAAGAATCTCTTATTTTATAATTTGAATTGTGTAAGATTATAAAATAAAAACTATTAGATGGAGAATACTCCTAATGTTAAGAGGCTTATGCTACATTTAATGATTTAATTTATGCATTTTAAACAATATAATACTTTTTTAAATTAGAAAAATGAAAGCATTACTGTTTTATATGGTATAAAACATTACCTTGGGAAAGTGAGCTGCATCCCACATAGAGAAGCATTCAATTGAGAAGCAAAGTCCATATTTGGATGGTATGGGGAAGCTTAATTAGAAATCAGCAATGTTTGAAGAAAAATATCTGTTTGAAGAAAAATATCTGTTTGAAGAAAAATATCTGTTTGAAGAAAAATATCAATTTGAAGAGCACATACATAGGATGATTTCTCATTGGGAAAACTGAAAAAGAGCATTTATATGGGATAAATGAATTACCTTTTGTATTCATGAGGATGCTGGGGGCGATGGGAAGAACCAGTAGGTGTCTGAGAACCTTGAATGTGGTATGTTTTGATGTGGGTCTAAGGCTTCAATTATGTCTGCTTTCTGAATACTGCCTGCCAAAAATATGGACAACCTTTGGATGTCCTGAAGTTGAGCTTTTCTAGCCTGTTCCATATCGATTGAATTCCCCACCACTTTCAAATGCAGTACATTGAGGTGTTTCAAGTTTCCAAGATCGGCGAGGCAAAATTCTTTAGCATCATTACGATCAGCTCTGGCAATGAGCCCAGTTAGATTTCTAAGAGAAGTCAATTTCTGAACGCCTTTTGGGTATTGAGTGAGAGCAGAGCAACCAGCAGTACAAAGAGACCTCAAGTTGATTAATTTTTCTATTGAATCTGGCAACTGCTTGAGATTTGCGCAGCACCACAAATCCAAAAACTCCAAATTAAGTAGGTTGCAGAGTGCTTCAGGCAGCCTTTCTAATTTTTCATTAGAACCCAAGTGAAGGACTCTCAAGTGTATCAATTTCCCTATTCCTTGAGGAATTTCTTTGCATAAATAATGATCAATTCCGTCAGGCCAACCAAAAATCAATACCCTTAAGCGTCTGCAATGATTAAACAAGCTACCCAAGGCCTCATAAGTCAGTGCACCCTCTCCAGTGAAAGTTATAAGGGCTCGCAATTTTTTTGCACCAGAAGTGAATGTAGGAAAAGGGATCCTTTTATCAACCATCACTGTCAAGTGACGATTCTTTGACCCATCCATAGTCAAATGATCCGAGTTGATCTCTTTTGTCACAAACTCATTCTGTGCCAAATACTGAGCGAAATCATGTACTATGTCGTGCATCTTACAACAATAAATCTTTCCATTAAGTAGTGTAACATCTTGAAAGAAAGAGCGGTCTGCTAAGATGTGGAAGTACTCTTGCCCTTTTGACTCCAAGTCTGCAGTACCATCCGACCCTAAATAACCCATCGCCATCCATTGTGGAATTAATACATGAGCAAAAATGTCGTGATCTTTGGGGAAAAGAACACAATACATGAAGCACAGCTTTACCGGAGGGGACAAATCATAATAACTCAGCAACAAAGGGGCAAAAATATCCTGTTGTGCCAATTCTAATTTCCATATTTCACTATTCAAGACACTTTGCCACTCTCTTTTGCTTCTTTTAGACTTTAAAAGGCTTCCTAGAGTTTTTGCAGCAAGCGGTAACCCCTTACACTTCTCTGCAATTTCCCTCCCAATTTTCTCCAAATTCTGATCATCCCTTCCTTCTAATGCAATATGTTTAACTACTGACCAACATTGCTCGTCAGTCAATTTCTCCAGAAAAATGATTTGTGAGGAAGAGGACCCCATCATTTTTGCAACTATAACATCGCGTGTAGTAACCAAAATTCTGCTTCCTGGGGCACCAAATTTGAAAGTGGTTTTCAGTCCTTCCCACCTCTCACCTTTATTTCCATCCCAAACATCATCTAAAACAAGAAAATATTTCATTCCCTGGATAGAGTTAGAAATCCTTTCCAAAAGGAACTGCAATGGATTTGATTCTAGACCGTATGCAGCACCATCACCAAGTTTTTCAAGCCCTTGAATGATTGCCCTTGCAACTTTTTTCTCATCAAAAAGGTCAGAGACACAAACCCAGATTACCTTGTCAAAATGCTTTTTAACTTCATTGTCATTATATATCAGTTGTGCAAGAGCTGTCTTTCCTAATCCCCCCATCCCTACTATAGATATGGTAGGGATTACTTCACCACTCCCTCCCCACAAATAGTTTAGTATGTCTGCCTTCTCCTTATCCCGACCACATAGTTTTGACACATCCACAAAAGATGAAGTTTCTGGCCGTTGTTGAGGATGATTGATTGTGTTACTTATTGACATCGACAGCAACTGATATTTCTCTTTCTCCTTCACAATATCATCTATTCTTTGATTGATTTCCTTTATGTTGAAGGCAATTTTGCAACGGGTACAAACACGACGAATAGAAAAGCACGACATCAAATTCCATAATACCTGTTTAAAATTGATAGTAACTCCTTATTTTAGAAATACTTGATGTTTTGTAAGACATTACAATTTTAGAGGTTGAGACTTTTTGCAGAGCCAGAAATATTTTTCAGGGGACAAAACAATACATTGATTAAGAAATGGTGCATCTATGTAAATTAAAAAGCTGATAAAAGAGAAAATTTTCTAAAAAATTATTATAAACAAAATTTATTAATTTTTAATGATAAATTGATAAAGTAATATAAATGCCATCAATTGAAGAACAAAATGAATATATATAATAGTAAAGATCACTTCTACAAAAATGCAAAATAAAATGTTATTAGTAAACATTTTGTGAAAGGATTATATTGAATATTTTTTTATTTAATTAATGCTTATTTAAAAAA